TCATTTCAGGAAGGTATAGGAAACTTGCATGTAATTCTAGGAAAAATGTCTTCAGCTGTGCCAATTATTTAAAATAAAAGCCAAATGAATGGAAATATATTGGAAATAAAGATACTAAAATTTGTTTAGCACACAAGGGCTTTTATCTGGGAAGGAACTCATGTTATTATTCGTGATTTTTAAGAACATCCAGACAATTGAACATCAGTGCTCGAGACTATGCTTTGCACACTTTATGCTGTGGTGACCACATCCAAAGAGCAGTCTGTCCTCATGACTGTTATGCTCTTCTAGGGCCATACTGACTTAACACACAGTATTATACAATTGTAATTTACAATAATTTTATGAAAGATCATAATAGAGAAAAATGAACAAATAATGAAAGAAACAATTTAGGGGCAAGGAAGAAGTGTTGGCTGGGAGGAGAGCTGGCAAAACTACGTTGGTGCACGCGTGGCATCGGCACATCCCTGGGATGGCCATAGGAGCCAGGGGATAGAAGGTCTCCCTCCTTGGCCTATGACGGCATCGACAGCCCTGAGATGCTCTCCTTTGGCCCCCTCTGCTGGAGTAAAGGGGTACAGCTCCCGGTGGAGCGCAGTGCTCCGTCCGCAGGTGTTGATGAAGTGAGTAAATCAAGGATTCAATAAAAGTATGCGCATTGTTAAGAAAGTACCATCTGAACGCGTATGTCTCGTGGAGGGAGAGGGAATGACCTTAGGTTGCTGGAGCCCTCTTCCCAGCACACCTTGCCATCCAGTAACGCACTTCTTTCATATCCCTTTATAATTTATCGCATCATCTTATTTCCACTTGCAGAAAGAACAGAGAGCTTTCTGTATGGCTACCACGATGCAACTCTAATAATCAACTAACAAATACAACACGTGGCTGAGAACTAGGGAATAGCACCCAAGATGGCTAGTTCTCTTGGCTAGTTACTTTAGCATGTTTGGGATGCCATGGCACCAATTTTTGCATATATATTAAATTGATAAAAAGTTTTCCTCAGTAACAAAGGGGAAAAGTAATGCAGATTCAGATGAACCTTGGGAATAATGTGATTTCTTTACTTAACACACTAGCCATTTCCAGCATTTTAACTACAGGCCATTTTTCAGTGAAAACATAGTTTTCCAATATTTTTGTTCAGAGACGGTTGAGACAAATATTTTTGCGAGGTATACAAACTTCTATATTTTCATAGTCTTAAGAACTTTCTGGCCTCATTTTTCCCTCTAGCAGGAATTATTTCCCTGGGCTGAGTTTCCAGACATTGCTAACATTGTTTTATTTACTTTTCTCATAATGACTTCGGTGAGTGAGTCATACATCAAACTTAATCATCAGGCCTCCGAAAGTGGACAAGAACTGAAAAGCACGTATGCAGGGAATGCTGTGAGCTCACTAATTATGAGGGGGAAGCTCAGTACAGGTGTCTTTCTGTGGTTAATGCCAAGACCCTGGAGAACGCGAGGGCATTGC